CGGGCCGAGCGTACACAGCCGGGGCTCAGGGGTTGGGGCCCGGGCCCAGGGCAATGGACAGCCCCGGAGAGCGCTCTGCGTTGTGCGCTGGAGAACCCTTCTAGAGCCAGGTGTTGGGGCGCACGCGGGTCATCCCAGCACGCTTGGGAGGCCGAGGCAGGAGAGTCGCAAGTTCGAACCCAGACTGAGCAGTTTGGTGAAGCCCTTTCTCAAAATAAAACATAAGCAAAGGGTTGGGATGCAGCTCCTCGAGAAGTCCCTGTGTTCAATCCCCAGTACCGAAAACAAAAAATAAAAAAAGAAAGAAAAATTTCCTGGAGAAGTTAAGGAGCCGGGGCAGCAGCGATCCCCGAAGGTGCAGGCCCCCTACCCAAACTGCAAGGCGGAACTAACGCAAGGAAGGGAGTGGTTGATTGGCCCGGGAAGTGCCCGTAAGGGAGAAGCGCTGTGGGATTGGTCAGCACGATGACACGGGGCGTTACGAGACTGGAAGGAACGGGATAGGCCCAGACTGGCGGGGGCGGGGCTGCAGGCTCGGAGCCCGGGCTCAGAGCGAGGTGTGCGGAGCAGCCCGAGCACACGCGCCCCCGTTCGGGCTGGTTTACTTCACTGCAGGAGGCCGTGCGGAGCCCTCCGCTGCTGTTCTCTCACCCCTCTACTCGATTCTAGGGACAGGGACCCAGGGCAAACCGGTAGACTGGGGGCCCGAGTTCACACAGCAGGCATTTGAACCCAGGCAGCTCAGCAGGGCCCCGAACCCCTGAATCCCACTGGCTCTCCTTCCTCAAACCTCCTAACAACGGTTTATAAAACGTGTGGGAGGCCGAGGCAGGAGGGTTGCAAATTCGAGCCCAGCCTGGAAGACTTAGTGATTCGGTGAGATCCGGTCTCAAAAACCCAAAATAAAAAGGGCTGGGGCGCTGCAGCTCAGTGAAGGCCCTGGTTTCCACACCCAGCCCTGCAGAATTAATTACTGGAAATAAATTAATCAATGAAAGAGCAAGGGCGCCCTCTCAATTCCTCCCCAGGTGCCCCACGTGCCACCCAGGGAGGACACCTCATTCCCATTTTGCCGATGAGGAAACTGAGGCACGGAGGGGTTTGGACCCTTGCCTCCGGCCCACTGCTCTGCCCTGTCGCCCAGGGCTGCCCCTGCCTAACTGCTGCCCCTGTATCTGCACCAGGCGGGGAACGCCGTGGGCCCCATTCAGGCTGGCAGGGCGGCCAGGACACCCATGCGGGGCTTCCTTCGCAATCGTGGGGGGCACCCGGGCCTCCAGGCCAGGGCCGCATCCATCCAGTAACAGGACAATAAACCGAAGAGTAACTAAGCTGGGTGTGGTGGCACAGGCCATAGTCCGGGCACTTGGGGAGGCTGAGGCAGGGGGATCGCAAGTTCAAGCACAGCATGGGCAATTTAGTGACTTATGGAGACTCTGTTTCAAAATAAAAAATAAAAGGACTGGGGTGCAGCTCAGCGAGGAGGCCCTGGGTTCAATACCCAGTACTGGAAAAAAAAAAACAAACACCCCCCAAACAGAACTAAAATAGTTCCCTGGGCCGGGGGTAGGGAACAGATGCTCAGCCTGCACAGGGCCCTGGGGTCTATGCCCAGCACCCCCAAGAAAAGAAGGACGCAGAGAGCGGAGGAAGGGGAGGGGGGAGGAACAGACCGCAGTGCCTTCTCCCTGCATGCTGGTTGTTGTTTCTGTTTTGCAGACAGGGTCTCACAGTGGAGCCCAGGCTGGCCTTGGACTCACGATCCTCCTGCCTCAGCCTCCCGAGTGCTGGGGTTACAGGTGTGCGCCTGGACGTCTCCCTACTGTTGTGTTTTGATCCCGGCCACTCTAAGCTCCCTTTCTTTTTGGAGCCCAGCTGCTGAGCACTGAACTCTGAGGCCACCAGCACCCTGCCCGTCCGGAGCGGTGCATCGGCGGCCAGGGCGGCGAGGGCCACGCTCTAACGGAGGCGCAGCCTAAGCCCCAGGTGTTACAGTTTGAGACAGCGTTTCCCCGAGCAGCCCGGGTTGGCCTGGAACAGGTGATCCTCCTGCCTCGGCTTCCCTAGCAGGTGGGACGAGTGTGTGTCCTTGTCTTCCGCACCCGGTCCCGCCCTCTGTGACCCCCGCGGGCCACGACCGACCGAGGTCCCCTCCGTCAGCCACACCGCCGGGCCAGGGGAGCTCCGTGCCTGTTCTCCCTTGCGCGTGTCGCACTTGGGGAAACTGAGGCCTATCCGGGGAGGCGGCTTGGGCCGTGTGCGGCACAACTGCGAGCTTCGCCTTTCCCGCAGGGACTCTCAGCCCGATTCCTTCCGCTCCATTGGGGGGATCGTGGCCCCGCCCACACAAAAGGCTCCTCCCACACGGCGCCGGTGGGGGGGCGCGTGGCTCCAGGCCCCTCCAGTGCCCTCTTTTCTGGTGCTGTCTCCCGTCAGAGATCTTGGGGAACCTGCATCTGGCCCTAGCTGCCTAAGCCCAAGGGATCTTGAGGGCCAGGCGGAGGTGGGGTCGGCACAAAAGCCTTGTCTAGGGGGTGTTTATTCAATTAATAAGAGCTGGTGAACTCCCTCGCATCCCTCAAAAGCCCAGCTGCAAAGTCCCTTTTCCCAGGACACTGTTCCTGTTTCCTAGACATAGTCCATGGTCCCTCAGCTCCAGGACCCAGCTTTGTGTACCCATCGTGTCCTCTTCCAGGCTACTGGCTGCTTGGGGACCAGAAGTGACACCACTTAGGGGCTCGAGCAGTGCCCAGCCCAGGGAAGTTGGGAGCAGTGTTTGTTGGATGAAGGAATAAACATGTAAGGCGGGCCTGCAGTCACTTGACCATGTCCACACCCTGGCAGACGCGCCGGTCACTGACTGCCCCTCTACCTCCTGGAGCCTCACTTTCCCATGTGTGAAATGAATTTACCTAGCCGGGCCCAGTGGTGCACAACCATAATCCCAGCTCAGAAGGCTGAGGCAGGAGAATCTCTGTTAGCTCACAGCCAGCCTGGCCCTGTCTCAAACAACAACCACAATAACAATAACAACAACCACAACCACAACCACCCAAACAAAGTTTACCTAGTGCCCAGGCCCTGGTTGCAAAGATGAGATTAACACCCAGAGCGGGGGATGTAGCTCAGTGGTGCAGTGTCTGCCTGGCAAGAGCAAAGTCCCAAGTTCGATTCCCCCAAACAAACCAACAAACCAAAGAAAAAGAAAGAAAGAAAGAAAGAAAGAAAGAAAGAAAGAAAGAAAGAAAGAAAGAAAGACAGATGAACCCCCAGAGATGACAAGGGCCTCGGCTCACTCAACCTGGGCATGGCTGGGCCGCGCTGGTGGGGACACGGCCTGGAGTGGAAAGAGCCAGGACCAACCCCAGATACCCGCACGGAGACGTGCTGGGGAGGACGAAGGAGCTGCCCCGCTGGGAGCCATGGATGGCGGTGCCCTGGGGTCGGGAGAGGAACGAGGCCCCGTGCGGGATCCCCGCCAGCTGCAGAGCTCAAAGCCCAGGAGGGGCCAGGCCATCCCTGCAATGCCAGCATTTAAAGGCTGAGGCAGGAGGGTTGCAAGGACGAGATCGTGTTTCAAAAGCACCACCGGCGTCATCCTGGCCTTGGGCAGGAGGCGGGGCGGGAGGTTGGTCGAAAGACCCGCGTCGGTGTGTGACACACAAAGAAGGAATTGTATGACTGTGCGGGAAGAGGGCTTCACCCTGGGACACCGACCCGGCCCGTGCGCGCTCGGGAGCACGGCCTCAACACTCCAGGGCTGTGCCAAGGGGCGGCCGCGCAGGAGGAAGTAAGGCTGGGCCCGGGCGGAGGGGAAGTAGAGGCCTGGGTTGGGGCCGGAGGCCGCAGCTGCTGCAGGCTGACGGGGCGTGGGAGGAGCCGAGGCTGAAGGTGAAAGGGATCTGCGGTTAGGAATTTTTGCTGGGCCTGTTACCGCTCGCCTGTCATCCCAGCACCCAGGAGGCTGAGGCAAGAAGATTGCTGTGAGTTGGAGGCCAGCCTGGGCCCCACAGTGAGTTTAAGGTCAGCCTGGGCTACAGAGCAAGACCCTGTCTCGAAACAAGAAGCCTTGCTTCGCAAGCAAGCAAGGTCCTGAGTTTGATCTCCGGTACAAACGAAACAAAACAACCCCCACCAAACCAAAACAAAAAATGCTCATGCCGGGCACAGGAGGTACACAGTAAATTCGCAGCCTGTTCCCTCCCATGGCAATACGAGGGTCCCCAATGCACAGGTGCCTGCCTACTTTCTTCATGGCTGTAACGTCTGCCCCCACACCACTTTTGCTTCACCGCCCACACCTGCCGAACTCCTACATATCCCTGGAAGCCCTGTCTACAAGATCCATTTATTTGTTTCATCGGCACCCTGACTTAGGAGGCTGGGAGCACCCTTCAGCCCCTGGCTCTGCCTGGGCGCACCAGGTTGGTAGCGTAGAAACGCGGACCCCAGTCGTGGCAGGGGTGTGGTCAGAGCGCGAATGAATGAATGAATGAACCTTCACTCCGGAGGGGCGGCTGCGCAGAACAGCGGCCCCGCCCCCACGCAAAGGCCCCGCCCACCAGGGGAGG